AGACTCAGGCCGGTGGTGCGGCACGTGCGGGGCGTCGGACGCTGAGGCCCGCGGGTGCGGCGGGCGGGGGGCGGCGGGTGGAGCACCTACTCGGGGGCCTCGGTGCCCGCGGAGGACGAGGCGGAGGACTTGATGGAGGGCGAGGCGGTCTCAGTGGACGCGTGCTGCAGTTTAGGGGATGAAGGGGCCGAGGAGTCGGGTGTGGCGATCTCCTCGATGTCCGAGTATGAGGATGCCGACTTGGGTCCCTTCTTTATGCTGAAGGCTTTGTTGAAGGAGCTTCGGAGCTGGAAGAAAGCAGATTCCGGGAAAGCCGTCAGGCTCCGCTCCGGAGACGGGAGGCAGTGGGGGCTTCTGAGACGGAAGTGCAGAGCAGGTGTCTGCTCCACAACCAAGCCTCCCTCTCTAAGCTCCACCCGACACGGAACATGGACAGGGGACTCGCCTAGAAGTTCGGGCGCAGAGAGCCTAGAGACCCTGGCTTGCTGCTGTCGCGCTAGGAACTCCTTGGGCGTTCCCTCCCCCAGGACAGAGGGGAGCCCCCAGGGCACGGGGCGTGCCTGCAGGCGACCGGATCCCGGCTCCTCACCAGCACCTGTCCAGTCTGGGGCCCAGCTCTCTTTGGCCTCAGGACCCTTCTCTGACCAGGGCTCAGATCAGAATGTCTCCACCCACCCCCCAGAACTGACAGTATGACCGAGGGACCCACAGAAGGGAGTGGAGTCAGGTTCCTGTTAGAGCCTCTGGTGCCCAGCACATCACAGAAGGCGGAAAACAGCCAGATTCAAGTGCTTTTGACTCTGCTCGATCATCCCAGAGTAAGGGCCACTTCCCAGGACCTCCTCAAAGTCCGTGGGAGCTGTGATCTGACCGCCACCCGCTCGCTCCTGGTGCCGACGAGCCTGGTGTTGGGGACGTGAGCTGCAAGCCTGGGTTCTGCCCACTCCGGTCACACGTGTCCACACAGCATGCACACACACAGCCCTCACTGGTCGCGTGTGTCCACACAGCATGCACACACACAGCCCTCACTGGTCGCGTGTGTCCACACAGCATGCACACACACAGCCCTCACTGGTCGCGTGTGTCCACACAGCATGCACACACACAGCCCTCACTGGTCGCGTGCGTCCACACAGCATGCACACACACAGCCCTCACTGGTCACGTGCGTCCACACAGCATGCACACACACAGCCCTCACTGGTCGCGTGTGTCCACACAGCATGCACACACACAGCCCTCACTGGTGCGTGTGTCCACACAGCATGCACACACACAGCCCTCACTGGTCGCGTGTGTCCACACAGCATGCACACACACAGCCCTCACTGGTCGCGTGCGTCCACACAGCATGCACACACACGCAGGGACAGAGATGGAACGGCAGCCGGGGGCAGAGAGTAAAGGCGGGGTCCAAGGTGATTGGGACACAGTGAAGCAGACCTTGGAGACGCTGAGGGAGAGGCGGGAAACCTGAGGGTGCTCCTCCCCAGTGTCCGCTGGAGCACAGGGCCCCAGGGAGCAGCTGGCCTGCAGCGGGGGGTGCCGGGGCCTCTAGCAGGCAGGACACGAGGCAGGCCCACCTGGCTGCGCAGGGGACGGGAGGGAGTACGTGTGGGGATAGGTCAGCATCGAGTGGTCGCGGCTCTCATCTGCAGAGATGAGACCTGGCACTAGAACTCAGGCTTCCTCATCTTCAACCTGATGAAGCCTTCTCCATCCGCTGCCTCTGTGTTTGCGTGTGTGTGTGAGTGCCCGTACACACGTGCACATGTGTTTGAGTGTTTCTGTGTGAGTGCATGTGTCCGAGAGTGTGCATGCACATGCGCACAGGCGGGACCAGGTCCTGTGACCGCACCCTGCCTGGAGCTCCAGCCTCTAAGGTCCCCAGGGTCCCATGTGGGAACAGTGCCCTGCAGCGTGTGGTCCCGTGTTCCCTGTGCCGAGCGGCTCTGACACTTCCTAGGGTGGTGTCACGTGGGGAAGGGTTCTGTGGTCAAACGAATTCTGGAAACAGTGGGTCAAGCAAATGGAAGCCAGACCCTGTCCTGAGGGACATCCCGAACTTGTGGGTGCCATGCAGACGGGGCAGCTCTCCTCGAATCTGGGCATGTTGGTGGGTGGTGGGAGTTCACTCCAGGAAGTGCTGACCAGAGACTCAGGTTTAATAATGACCCTGCATCTCAGGTCCTTGCTCTCCAGGCCCCTGCAGTCAGGGCTCCAGCGACACTGGCCTCTCCCCGCCCCGCTGGCTGGTCTGAGCGGGGCACACCCCTACCCTCCTCTCCCACAAGCCCACCTCAGTTTAGCTTCCACCCCTATGGCCCTTCCCCTGCCTTCTGGAAGGAGCCTGGCTGTAGCACCGTGCGCTCCAAACGAATTAAGCATTTCTGCACCATTGGATTGTGGTGGTTATGGTCAGTTTTACATGAACAGTCTTGTTCTTTGTCCCTGGCAACTCTGCAGGCTCCGAGGCCACAGACTCAGTGTTTCCTGTCCTTACCACACCCACCACGATGTCAGGAGAGGGTCAGCATGGACTGGGCAAGTCTGCTTGCAGCAGAAATTCTGGGTTCACTTTCTCTTAGACATTTACACCCTAATCCCTTGATGTCTCTGGAAACCCCGTGAATGCTCAGAGGGCTTCAGGTTGTAGGGTGACTTGAGGTCACACCCCTCACCCATCTCTGGTTCATCTTACTCCAGAGCTGACTCTTCAGGCTGGACCCAAACTGCCCTGCTCTGGACAGGCGTGGTCAAGGTAACGTCGCCCGGGAGTCTCCTCCAGCTGGGCTGTCTCGGGTCTGCCGGGGTGAAAGCTGGGGGCTCTGACTGACTGCTCGGCAACAGGCGGGCTTCGCCGCAGGGGAGAGGCAGCAGGAGGCCGACGGGGGTTTGCCCGCCGTGGCCACCTGGCCCCTGCCAGGCCACTCCTGGCCCTGTGGGGCAGCTGCGGGAGGACACGCAGGGGGTGAGTCAGGGACCCTGTGGTGGCCGTCACGGCTAGTTTCCTGAGTGGCTGCTCTGTTTTTAGGGGAAGGAGTGGCTCTGGAGGTAGGGAGGGTATGGCAAAGGGAAAGAAGACAGGGAGAGGTATGAGCGTCTTACCTCGTAGACCTGGAAAAAATAGGGATTTGAAGTCAGCATTTGGAAGGGGAAAAAAAAAAGAAGAAGCAACACTTAATCACTCATTTCACATGGCTGGCCCCATCTGTGCTAACAGGGTGTGTGGGCAGCCCCCTGAGCAGGGGGCTGAGGCTGACGGGGCCCCCGGGGCTCCTCTCGCCAACACGGGCAGCCGAGGAGCCAGAGGAGTCTTCTCCCGGCCTCGAGTTTCAGAAAGGTCATTCAAAGTCAGAAACAAACAACACGACGGCTATCTCTGGACCGAAGGCAATCTAATGTTCCCTGTGAAGCAACCTGGGAAGTTCTGCAAATACCTCTCCCCAAAGTGGGCGGACTGGCCTCCAGGACCACCCAGAACGAGTGGGTCTGCTCATAACATCCTCTCCCCACAGTGGTGGGGGGGGGCCTGGTGGGACGGTCCCTTCTGAGGGTTTCCCTCTGTTGCCAATGACTCGCCCGGGCGCCCCAGAAGGCAGGTGCTCGTGGGGCTGGAGGGGCGGC